TCAGCCTAGAGCTGAAAAATCGGTATTTTTCACGAAAATAATTTTTTTAAGGAGCTACGGAGCCTCGAAAAATCCGGAAAATTTTTTTTCTCATTTTGTTCATCAAAATACATAATCTCAAATTTTTTCAGATTTTTTAATTGAAGGCGACAGCATCTGGAGCCGAAAAACGTTATTTTTAACAAAAAAGGTTCCTCGAACCCGATGGTTCCGGTAAAAAAATTTGAAAAATTTTTTTTCAATTCCTTGTCAAATTTTAATAAATTTTGACCGTTTCAAAAGTTCGATTGAAGCTTCCTAGCTCATTCTAGAGCATGATAAAGATTAATGCGAAATTCTGAAGACATTCATCATATTTACTGCCTTGGACCAACGCTACCAATACACATGACAAAACCTTTTTATGCAATAAAATAACAATGACTCAGGTTATATTGTTGTGCATTGAGCACCTTATAACCTTCAATTTCGGTAATTTCAAAATTAATCGAGGACAACACTTTCGGCTCAAAATTTACAAGTGTAAATAAAATAAAAAAGTTTAAAAAAAAAAGTAAAATAACAGATAATAAAAGAAAAAAAAAGTAAAATCATGATACCGATCCTCGGGGAAACCGTATTGTCGATAATCCACGGACCCGCGACGACGGGCCATCTCATCGAGGTTAGCCAATTCTTGAAACGTCCGATCGACGTCTGGACCGAGGACAGATTGATGCTGTTTGGCCGGTGTCACCATCGACACAAGCCCCGATTACGCCTCAAGTACAAATCGCTGACAAAAAAGTGTCCTTCGTGTGGCTTATCGACGTCTTCAAAAGCAGTTGGTCACTTTACCCTACTCAAGGGTGAGGAGCCCTGCAATCCGGACGCCCGTAGCCATCCGGAAAATTGCGGCTTCGACGTCGTCTCGGACCAGACCGGCTATCCAGCCACGGCCCTGAGACAAGTCGCCGTCCAGCGGATGCTGGCCAAGCTCTACGAGAGTCGTCTGAGAGGCCGCGATCATCACTTCCAGTGCTCTCGCTGTGCGCGTGAAACATTAATTGACACGCGCCACGATGAGCTCTAAATTGAATTTAACGTATCGCGTTTCAGGTGGCATATCCGGAGGCACGGCTTGGAGCAGAGCTGATGTGGAAAGATTGTATGACGATTCCAGATCTATTCACAAGGGACATGCTCATATCCACGTGCGCAGGAGGAATTGCGAAAGAAGCTGCGTTTGCCTCGAGAATTTTAATGGAGATTTGGCTAAAATTGATTGCATGCAAAAATACCTAACTGTCGTCAAGTGGAAGTATCCTAATATATTAACGTTATTCGCAACTGAAGAAGATTTAAAGGAATGTTTATTTCGAGCATTGAAATCTGTAAGCATAGAGAGTGTGACGAATTGTTTATGTCGCAGAGATAGTAGTAGTTGTACAAACATGACTATCCCCGAACATGCGACGAGAAAGGGGGTAATCGAGGCATATGTGAGCTCATTGAAAAAAAACGGTTATGCATATAACCCTAAAACAGGCATGGCAGAAGAAGAAACATTATTTTTAATTAATCAAGTAAAGTTGGTAATGACATGTCGTTTAAGAAGTCAAGATACCGCCTTTGGGGCAAATGAGAATCTTCATATTTTAACTATGTACCCTAAGGTAAGTGATCTTTAAATACATTGCTTGTATATAAATGGCGCATCGCGTAAACTAAAATTTTCTTCCTCGTTCGGCAGCCAACTGAGAGAGATAAACATACAATTGAGCGCCAGTTAGGTAGATCACAATGGCCCGGCTCTGATAATACATTCGGGGCTTACTTACAAGCAGCAAAACATGCTCCATTAAATAAAAAAAGAAGAAAGAAGAAATAAAACAAAATATTCCGAGAAAGACACTTGCAAAATTCACGAAAATTTCTCAAAAAATAAACCATGCGTGCTCGATACGATATCCGTAGAGGGCCATCATCAGCTCGAGTCTCAGCATTTTGACCTCTTCATTGTCTTGTGGATTTTAAAATTCGACATGGCTCGTTTTTTTTTTTCAAGAGAACCGCTCGAGCTATCCGAGTGATCACCGATTTTTAATTATAAAAGATAACAAAAACTTGTGTGTTTAAATCAAAGACGCGCCTAATATAAAAAAAATTCATTGTAAGAAAGTACACTTTTTTCACAAATATGCGATAAATAGACGACGGAACGTTGATTTTAAAAATTTCGGAAGAGCCAAATACAGGTGAATAGGAACGATGATTTTTCATCCCAAAGTCGACGGGACTTCGAGGACTGCATGCCGTTGAGAGAAGATTGAAATCCGGAATAGACACGTCGTGCTGTCCATTCGTTCGATTAATTCGTATTGGTTGCACTACTTGCTCGGGGAGAGACACGATGCACTATGAATAATAGTATAATTTTTCATATTAAGTATTTTATGATAAGTTCCTGTGGTAGTACACTTTTATATGATAATGGTAATGAAATATGCCACCTACTACATTTAATTTTGAATCTCGACAGATTTCGATCGAGTCGGTATCGATTGAAACAAAAGTATACACGTTAGAAATAATAACAATCAATGAATATAATAATTTTAATCGAATAAATTCAGTCGATCGATGGTGCCCCGGCGTAAAGACTCCCAAAATGTTTGCTCGCTTAATCGTCACGACGTTTCGTACGACGAAGAAATGAATTTATAAACATCGATTGCGGGACACGCGTCGATTCCGTTATTAATTCCAAAATTCGTAAGTCTTAATAACTGTCGCACTGGACGATCACGTGCTCGTACGTATATACTTGTGAGTACGGCCCCTGCAGGCGTGTATCGCATCGTGTGCAAAAATACAAGAATAAGCGGCGGTACTGCGTCACGATTGTCTATATAGATAAAATATCGTACCTACTGTTTTAAAATTGAAAAATCCACGGGTACACAACGTCGACGCGTTTAACTAATCAAATATTGACTCGTCGAATAGACGTAGTTTTAATGTATAAATACGAGGAGCGAAAAAATAGGCCGTGTGCGCGACCACGACGACGACGACTCCCATACGTACATTCCGTGATCTAAATCCGTTGGGATGAACTAATTGAGCAGCGGATGAAAAAAAAATAGTTAACGCGCTCACGCAATAGCGCCGTAATGCACGACATGGTTACGATGTTTTTTTTTTTTTTATATGTATGTATGAAAAGTACACAAACGCACACGTGTGTGAATTAATTATTTTTCTCCCTTTTTTTTTAGACATTTTATCAGAATTTATTATTTCGTGTAAACGTTTATAATAATTAATTCATAAATCCATAATCATAAAGTTAATTAATAAATACAATTTACAAGATGGCTTTTGACGATTTCGATTACAAATAGAGAGTCAGTTTTTTTTTATTTCTTCATTTAATCGGCTAATTTTTATATCCGCGAGTTTCTTTTTTTTCGGCAAAGCTTTAGGTTCTTTAATAATTATAATAATACTCTGTGATGCAGTGTGTATGTACTTTATACTCAATGTGGCCCAGTCGTTATACGCTTTTTGTAACTTGCGAAGAATTTTTTAAATTTATCAATGTATATGGCTTGACCTTGACATCCACTTTTTTTTTGTGTTGTTGCTGCAAATCCGATGAAAATTATATTAATTGCATAATTCAATCTTTCTGACTTTTTTGTTTCGTTAATATTCGCTATGTTTCCTCTTGTGTTTTTTATCTTAATTTATTAATCTCTACAATTGGTAAGTAATAGATTACTCTTTTTTTCTTGCTTTTGCGTATACGTGTCTATCTCACTCTTGCCTGACCAAATTCATTTCTCCATTGCATGCCTTAAGTTTGTGTGCATGAACAATCAAGTCATATTTTATAATTTTCCGTCCCTTCGGCTGCACGATGTAAAAAAAAAATTGTTAAAAATAAAAAATGAAAAATGAAACTGACTTTGGATCGCTGCGAAAGAAAAGGCCATCGCAGTAAGAATAAATTACAAGAATTATGTTAATATTATCGAGTAGTAATCCAAGAAAGTGAGAGAGAGATGATTTTTTCGTAATATCTTCTTTCTTGGTCTATTTAAAAACACACACAATCACAATCACGATTGAAAAAATTCAACGATTCATCCGAAATATTTCCGTTTAAAAGCTCGAAGATAATTCTTTATTTTATTTTTTCTTTTATGCGACAGACAGAGAGATTTATTTTTGCATCGTAAATATATTATAGGCACCTGATAACACGGGCAGAAAATGGTATACGTAACATCGAGGGACATTAGTTTTGTGCTTATCACCGCGATTTTGTATAGTTACTTTTTTTTTTCGCTTTTTTTCTCTTTCATACATCGATGATATATTATATTATATATTTTTTTTATAGTTTTTTTTAAACACACAACAATTTTTTTTCAACAACAGTTATTACCAGAAAAACATCGTGTTAATATTTTATTTATGTTGTTCTGCATCATCTCTGCTCTCATTTTTAAGTAGCTTAAGAAATATTCCTGGCTGATTATCATAAATTTTGTTGGTCGTCAGGCATGTGCATGCACTTCTCATTTGTATTTTTTTAATGTTTATAAGGACAACAGACACATACGTACACAACATGATTAAACTTTTTTTTTGCTTTTTTCGAGCTCAAAGTTATGTTTTTTTTTTTGTATCAACTTTAAAGTACTAATTAATAGGTATCATTCACATAGAAAAGGTGAGAATATTATATTATTAATATTTGTCTCATTGTGCATGAGTATTTTGCTTTTTTTTTTACTTTAATTAGATCCCTTTTGTATGTTTTTCGAGTTTCCTTATGGATGAATTGACTTTAATTTTAACAACACCTGTTCTCTTGGTACTTTGCTCCTTCAAAAGTTTTTTTTTCAGTGGGTATGTGCATCCTCGCAAAATTCAACCTTACTCTTTCTCTCTCTCACTTGCTCAAATAGTGAAGTAACGGACAGAAAAAAATGAAAACTTAAAATGAATTTATTTTTTCTGGAATTTTTTAATTCTTCCTTATTTTACTTTGTTACTAAAGTAATTACAAAAGTAACGATCGCGAGAAAAATAATAACGGCAAAGTAAAAATTACAATCCAAGATCGATAATCATCAACGGGCAAAATACTTTTAATTAACACACTTTTTATCATCCTCTTTATTTTGCTAATCGGTTCTGGTAAAAGCACGTTAAAATGTGTAAAAATGCTCTAATTTCTTCTTTTTTGTTCACTCTACTTTGACATGTAATATGTCGCATTAATATAAAATTGGACATTCAAAAAACGATCATATTTACCAATGCGCGATCATTAAACACTCTCATTTGAACAAGGAAAACAAAAATAACGAAGGAATAACACCTACTATTTTTTCTCGAATACAAAATTTCAGTACTTGGTACTCAGATGGCTTTTGTTCACGAAAAAAAAAAATATATATATCATATATAAACGCCGCATTCACAATGCTGTTGTTATTTATAAAAAAAAATCTTGTATCACAACGAAAAACTGATTGGTAGTATGCAGTAGTAATAAAAGATACAGGTAAGAAGAAAAGTATAAGTAATTAAAAAAGTAAATATAATATAATGATATGATAAATAATTAACGGACAAGTAACACAAACGAAAAAAGAGAAACCGAATAAACATCTTGTAATCATCATAATTGTTAAAAAGAAGATGAAGATAATTCGTGAGTCATTATTTGTTTTTTTTTGTCTTATTTCATTTATCAGTTTTCTAATCGAAACCCATCGATCGAGCCGCATTTTTACATATTACATGTATTATAATAATTAAATGACAGTAAATTTAGCTCGAACTTACACACAATGTCACGTTAAATTTTTCTTTATTTTTTGTTTAAAGCTTAAATGGTTTCGCTATTACAATATTAATTGTTTATTCTGACATTTCGACGCTTCTCCTTCGTGTGTGTGTGCGCGCACGCTCATGCATACCACCTTGATTCAGAAAACATATTCTTCCATTCTCTCGGCTTTTTTGCAGTAAAACTTGAATTTGATTCACAACATCAAAGAGGATATTAAGAACAATGTCCATTAAATTTTGCTTCGTCGTTTTGTTATTTCTTTCATTTTTTTTTGATTGAACAAGTATGTAAGTTGAAGCGTGTGTTGCGTTAAAAAGTAAAATTCAAGATGATATTATCTTTCAAGTTTTTTGGTTTTTGTTTTCTTTTTAATATATAAATAGTATGTATTCACACATAATTCCATTATATACCATTAAAAATTGAGCGCTTCACTCTTCCATCAAAGTGTTTGGTTCTCTTCAAATATAATAGTTTTTTTATGTTTCACACCGATGAAAACAGATTTACACGTTTCATCTTCTCTTTGCCCGAGCTATAAAGCTCGCGCGAATTGTTACAATTTTTCTTCCTCTCGCTGGCCCTAAATTAATGCGGAAACCAGTGAAAGGAAGATAAACGAGAGAAGGTGAGAAATGCAAATTGTTTCACAGAGATGCATACATGAAATTCGAAGTTGGAAAGTTGGAAAGAGAGAGAAAGAGAGAGGAAGGCACCCGGAGGGAAGTAGTTGCGAGAGAAAATGCGTTCTTATACTTTCTGAAGGAAGGTCGTGAAAAAGAAGGGTACGAAGCGGCATGATAAAATGAGTTTTGATGAAGTACAAATAGACAAGAGGCGAAAGAGGGGAAAGACATACTTTTCGTTTTTTTAGACACCAAGTATTGACTCTATGTAAATTTTCATGATCGATTAATCGTCTCGTGAAAAAGATTTTTCAGAAATGAATAATTCCAGGAAAGAGTCACGATGGAATCAGTACTCAGTGATCGGGTGAAAAAGGTGCTAATTTACGCGGCGTTTTGTGTTTGTGTGGTTTTTTTTTATTTATTACCCATATACATGACAAATAGGACGTTTTTATAAAATATCCCTCTGATTTGTTTACAATTGGTAAATTCTTTGTCGAGTCCGTTCTTCTTTCATTTTAACTAGTCTTAAACATAGTGAAAAATCGTTTATATACTGATTAGAGTGTAAATACAGGTATAAACCACTGAAGCGAAAAACTTCGATGACGTGACAAGAGAATTTTACCCCCGAGGGATATTATCACACACACGAACTTGAGGTAAAGTTTATGGACAAGGAATTTCTGATTGAACGGAGGGNGGGGGGGGGGGGGGAGGTAAGAGTAAGGAGACAGATGATGAAATTGAAGGAGGCAATTTTCCTGTGTCTTGTTATTCAAATAGTATAATAATTATTTTCTGATTTTTTCATTTTTCATCATTGTTGTTTTGTTGTTTTTGTATATTTGTTTTTTTTTCTTAATCTTCTTCAATTGTTCTTGAAGACTCGCGCGCTTATATTTTATTTATATATAAGTAATGTGTTTTTTTTTGTGTTTTATTGGTTTTATGAGGGTTAGTTGTCGCCGCCCTCTTGTGGCTCGTCGCCGTCACCCTGTGTGTCACTGGTCCATAGGGTGAGGTTGTCACGCAGCAGCTGCATTATCAGCGTCGAGTCCTTGTAGCTGTCCTCGTTTAGTGTGTCGAGCTCGGCAATCGCATCGTCGAATGCCTATACGTTATGGAGAAAAAAAAAGTGCATCAGTAAATTTATACGGTATTATGAATTTGAGTTAAAAAAAAAAAATTGAGCCTACAACAACTGTGAGAGAGTAAGAAGAAAAAAAAACGATGGTTAGTTCTAATATAACACACACTTTTGCCACTGTTCAAGAGCGCTCGAACGTGTATATAGTCGATCAATTATTTTTGTCATAATAAAATTGCTTTGTAATAATAACACACACATAGACATTTTTGTGATTAAAAAAAAGTAGAGGAAGAACACTTCTTTTTAACAATGCGTTTTTGCGTTAAAAATCTGATGATGGTCTTATTAATTCATGTATCAACGATATGATATGAGTCAAGGTTTTTTCGATGCAAATTTTTTTTTTTGGTTCTTTTTTGTAAAATCACGCAAAGCTCGAAGCCAAAATCTCAAGCAAATTAGACCGACGCCAACCGACGGCGGGCGGCGCGCGTCCAACCTGTTTAGCCAAATGACAAGCTCTGGCTGGCGAATTGATGATCTCGTAATAGAATACGGAAAAGTTGAGGGCCAAACCGAGCCTAATAGGATGTGTCGGCTGCATCTTGCTTTTCGCTATCTCGAATGCTTCCTGGTAAGCTTTCTGCGAGTCCTCCACCACGACTGTAAAACGTCAAAGATGATAATATACAAGTGTCAAAAAAAAAAATTTACAAGTTTAATTTCATCAGCTGTGGACCAGCTTCGTTTTGATCATCTCAAAACAACGGAATAAAAATTATATTAAAAATAAAAAAGACGAAAAGAACCAAGCGTTAAAGGTAAAAGCTCGTGTACGAATATTTAAATAATCGACACGGCAGTAGAACGGAAAAAATTCGATGATAACCTCGATTCTCTCTCGCTGAAAAGAATAAGCTTATAAAAATGTTGCATATTCATAAACATTATATACATATTTTTTTTATAATACTGATCAAGTCACGTTTGCTCCGATGAACGTGTGTGTGTGTGCGTCTGTATTATATTATTTTATATACGACATGTGTGTGTTTTTTTTCTTTCTTTCGAACAATAACCCTGAACCATCGGCATATATATACATTTTTTTTCTCTCTGTCTTACTCTCCCACAATTTCGGTGCGATTGCTCTCTTGTAATCAGCTAGCTGTGTATACCTGTTTGGCCAACTGGCAGGCCTTGTCCGGCGAATTTAGAATCTCGTAATAGAAGACGGAGAAATTGAGCGCGAGTCCTAGCCTGATTGGATGGGTTGGCTGCATTTTGGATTTGCTGATTTCGAACGCGTCCGAGTATGCCTTTTGACTGTCCTCTACGACGGCTGTTGTTGTTGCATTTTTGTTCGGTGAGTAAATCGATTAGTATACATGTTTCATTTTTAAATATGTAGGCTTGTATATATAGCATTATATTATTAGAAGTAAAAAAAAATAGAGTAATAACGAAGTAACAATGAAGAGAGGACAATCCCTCTTGTTTCCTCGAAATATTCACCGATATATGGGATTGTCCAAGGATGAAAAGGCACGTGCATCATCGAGCAAGTTCATTGTTTCTTTCATCGAGAGTTTAATGCATAATTTTTCAATGAAGAATAATAATAAAAAAAAAGACGAAGGCTGATAATAAAAAAAAAAAAAAGAAGAAGAATCGGATCCTTACCGTATCTATTGTCACCGGTGGCAACCTCCGCAAGATACCTGAAGTAATCTCCCTTCATCTTGAGGTAGAAGACTTTGCTCTCCGCGTTGCTCGCCTTGAGGATGAGGTACTTGTCAAGAAGACCCTGTAAAAGTGCAAAAAAAGCGCAAATCGTTAGTACAAAAAATAATTGCAGTTTTCGTCGAATTTCAACCAAACCCTCCCCCAAAAATATACACTACCCCTCCCTTGTGCTGCTGCAGCACCGTATATAACACGTATACGTATCGAAACCTCGATTGCTCTATTGAAAATTTAAGTTCGAGAGAGAGAGCTTTTGACGTTGAAAGCTATTGTTTGCCAGTGCTCTCTCTCTCTCTCTCGCTGCGTGTATGCACCTATGTGAACGTTATAACGGGCACAACCTCGGCAATGACGTCACGAACATCAGGGAGAGAGCCCGAGCAAAGCAGAGCACAGAGAGAGAGAGCTCTATATATTCCCTCTCGCAACCCTTCGGTTGTAAAGCTCGTGTCATATCAGCCTCACTCTCTCTCTCTCTCTCGAATTATATTCGAGATTAAATCGATATAATGTACACACACGCGCGTACCTACGTACCGTTGCGGTGGATGCCATCTACGTATTACACGCAAACAAAACGATGACGACGACGACGACGACGAGCATTACCATTACAAATATTGTTTATATACGTATTTCGGTTTATAAGCGCTTACTCGTATGAATGTACACGCGCGCGCGCGCGTCCCGCTCGACATCAAAACGCACGCATGCACGCACGCGCGTATATATTGTATATATACGTGTATTGAAATGCGCGAAATATTCGCGCGCGTTTGCGCTCCGCGACGCGACTCTGAGTAATTATTACTCCGCGCGCGCGTATTATCATCGTCGCTCGTATTATATATGAGGCAATAGCACACGTATATATATATAATATACATACACACAACGGAGAGACGGCGCCTATATGGCTCTATAATGCACGGCTCGGCGATTAAAACCTTGCTCCAGTTTTACTGCGCGGCAGTAGAGAGAGATATAGCGTATAGCTAGCTAGCTAGAGCTCTAGAGCGCGCGGCAGCGCTTTGCAAACTCATCTTTCTTTCCTTTCTTTCTCTTTCGTTATGCTATATACGCTCTCGTGTGTATATCATATACTACTTTATACATGCTGCACATAGTGCAACAGCAGCAGCCAGCCAGAGACAGAGGGTGAGAAAAAAAGCGTGTATGTTATGTGTAGGTACGAAGAGAATACAAAGTGCATCCGAGGGTAGAGAGAGAGAGAGAGAGACTTTTCTCTGTACGAGTGTGTTTTTTTTATAACGCACGAGTAACATTTTTTCCTCTCTTTCTCTGACTCGCTCTTCTTTTTTCCTGCTTATATAGAGAAAAGGGCATTGGGACGCGCGAGAGAAACGACACTTTCGTTATAATGTACACGCGCTCGAGACGAGGTAATGAGAGCCGAAGAAATTTATATACTTTCCGTGAGCTTCTCTATATAATACTTCTCGGGGCCGGCCGAGAGAGAGAGCCATGGTGTATAAAGGTATACAGAGAAGCTTTTCTTCGGGTGGGCATTTATTAGAAGCATCTCTTCTCGTACATATAATACGGCCACGGGGATACGCGTCTAATAAATTCCATCTCGTTACCCTTGACCCGCGCCCGCGTTTTATATGGTATATAATATAGCCGAAGACACGCGGCACACGTGCGTTACGATTTTTTTTTCTTCCTTTTTTTTTTACGATCTCCGAGGCTACCACCACTATCTATAACCACGAGAGCACGTATAAAACGAGGAAAAATCCTCTACTTGCTGTTGCTCGCTGAGCACGAAAAGAAGGTAAGCTTTTATATAGAAAAAAAAAAAAATACCAGCAAGTATGCACGCTAGCGCGCCCGAGCTTGTGCCCCGTCGAGTGAGTCTAGCGCGAAGAGACATAACTGGTTTTTCAAATTCCACTTCCATACTAAACAGCATTAAAGCGAGAGCTACACGGGCATCGTATATAAATGCGCGCCGCGCGCAAGTTAAGTAAAGCACGTCGCGATCGGGCGTGTCGCGTCCGCTTCCGCTTCCCCATGCAGCAGCAGCAGCAGACGCAAAAACACACATACACACACACGGCGTACCACGTAATACTTGTACACACGTATTATCGCATGATGTGTGTGTGTGTGTGTGTGTGTGTGTGTGTGTGTGTGTGTGTGTGTGTGTGTGTGTGTAAAAGTACGCGCGACGCGCAGCAGCAGCAGCAGCACTTGCGGCGTTATGTATCGTGTGCACATTGTGCCATTTCCGGATTCTCTCTCTCTCGCGTGTATGTGTGCAGGACGACGCATTAATTGTACTTACACGGCGTTGCCGTTGATTAAGACGTAGCGATATTATTTTTTTTTTTCGATATTATCGACGCGTCTCGATAAACTTTCTTTTTCTACTATATGTACGTATGATGTAATAACGACATTGGATTTCGATTTTTTTCAAGCCGCGCGCGCGCGCGAGTGCTCCGAAACGCGATGGGGGAGAAAGGAAAAGAAAACACAGAAACGTCGTCGAAATCAATTAAACATATATATATAGAAAAAATATTGGCGAAGTGGTCTAGACGCGCGCAGCCGCTGCTTGTCCTGCGACGTTGCAAAACCCTTTTTACGCGTACGCGCGTGTATATATTTACATGAAAAAATATACACGTATTCCGCAAGAGGAGCTCTCCGTAGGAGAAGTCGTCGTCGTCGCGCACTATATATTACACAAAGCTTCAAGGGCTAACGTGGAAAATGATATCCGCACGAGAGAGATAGAGAGAAAAAATGATAATTTTTTTTTTTTCATTATTATTTCTTCGCGTCGTAAGATACGTTGATACGGACGCACATACACAGGCGAGTTGCGCACGAAGGTCGAGAAACGAATCGATATATCGCCTTCCGTTCTTTATTCCCTTTTTTTTACTTCTTCGTTCGTTTATTATCAATTTTTTTTTTTTCGTTATTATTATTCCGACCATTGTCAGAATCTTAACGAAGCGTTGAGAAAGGGCAGCGGATATATTTATTCGTTGCTTTTATTTCGTCGGACGCGCGGGGCAGGGTCGCATGAAAAACAACACAACTGTGCGCAGCAGCAGCACACGTGCGTGCGCGTTAAAACGTAAAAGAAACGAGACGGTATATAATAACTCTCAACGACAAGTGCGAAGAGCGAGAGAGAGAAAATGCTTATTACCCAATGTAAATTATGTCACTGCAAATGTCACATTTCGCCTTGGAATCGCGCCTGGCTCGTATTATATTGTTTATTGGGATAGCGAGAGAAAAAAATAATCTTTTTTTTTTTTCAAGCAAAATTTAGAGGTGCGCCTGCCAAGCTGCCGTGTCGCGCTTGACAACAGATTTTTCCGCGTTGAAACGCGCGCGCGTCTATAATTAGGCATTTTCTAGTCGCGGTGATAAAATTTCAGAAATGGCAGTTCAACGAGCGGCTCGACATCGAGAGCGAGTTATTAAATTATCCGAAGGCGCGCGCGCACGTGACGTCAAGTTTACAAAAATCAAATTTACAAAACGACGTTACATTATAATAAAAAAAAATATATATCGAGAAAGAGAGAGAAAAGTAAGTTATTGCACACAAGTAAGTAATCGCGTGCGAGAGAGGGAGAAATGATCGACGACGATTACGGCGGTTAAGAGAGCAGCGGCGCAGTGTCCAACCTTGACCAATTTTTTCATTCTTCACTTCCGACAAGAGAGCAGAAGCAGCAGCAGTAGTAGTAGTAGTCGGATAATTTCTCTCTGCTCTTTTTCTCTCTCTCTCTCTCTCTTCTCTTATATAGTCGTCTCTGTGCCACAGCGGAGCCGAGCCGAGACGCGCAAGTTGAATCGATTAACTCTCTATCTCTCTCTCTCTCTCATTCGCGGCTTGTAGAGGAACGCCAAGTGATTTAATCCCATTTTGCGCGCGACGATGTCAAAGCTCTTTAACGCCGTTATATACATATAGCTGATAAAAAAAAAGGAGGAAGAAAGAAAGAATATACGAACCAGAACATCGTAACAGATCTCCCTGAGCTCCTTCTCGACCTTTTCCCTGTACTCCTTGGCCATCTGCTGTTTGCGCTCGGAGCCCTCGGTCTTTTGCTCGATCGACGAGATGACGCGCCACGAGCTGCGCCTCGCGCCGACCACGTTCTTGTAGGCCACCGAGAGGAGATTTCGCTCCTCGTTCGACAGCTCGACGCCGGTCTCGGTCACGGACTTCATCGCCGAGGCCATGTCGTCGTAGCGCTCGGCCTGCTCGGCCAGCTTCGCGCGCTGCACCAGCTCTTCTTTGTCGACCGACATTTCTGTTGATGGGAAGAAGAGAATATTTATTAATAAGAAATTTTTTTTTTGTTTTTTTTTAATTCGAGGTTGCACAAGGCAATATGATTCATACGTATGGCATTTATGTAATAATAATAATAATAATAATAATGAAATATATTTTAAAGAGCGAGATAGAGAACGTGTACAAAACAACGCACTCGTGCATCATACATGCGGGATAGGAGGGGCAATAAAAACGATGTTTATGGCAGCGAGCCACGTCAAGAGCCAAAAGGCAACAAATTATCTCAAAAAGTCAAAAGGTGCGCTTGCATACGCACACACACACACGAATCCGAGAGCGCAATAACGATCGAATTTATCAATTACACACGCATGTATAATACCAAGAGACTCGCGATCGTCACATCCTCCTTCTATATAGTCGCGTTCTACATCGACGCACTCACGTGTGTGCTGTTCAACGTCGTCGTCGTCGTCGTCGACGTCGTCGTTTTCATTGAAAAATTGCGCACGGCTCAATTAAAAGTTATACTGAGAAGTATATAAACCCGAGTACGTGTGTGGGTCTGTGTTTATACATGACTAACTGCGCGCGCGAGCGAAGACAGAGAGAGAGAAGACGTCACTTAATTTATAATCGCGAAAACATTAAATAACAAAACGTAGGCCGGAGTTTTAATCGCGCACCTTGTATCATTTGTTATCTCGCAACCTGACTGCGCGACGGCGTTATAGCTGCCGATTTGTGTTACCGACGAATCGAGAGACAAGACAATCGAGAGAGGCGAGATGATACTTTCACAAATGGTAATAATTCACGTTCTCAGGGACTGTGTGTCAGTGTTTGTGTGTGTGTGTTTGTTTCGCGATATAACGGAAATAAACACGCACACGGAAGATATATAACGATTTTTTTTATTAATGCCGTTGGTTCTTCCGTTGAGCAGGTGGGCGCGATTATCTCGCGCCAAATTTGGACATCAATTTTTCTTTCGTGTATCATTTAAAGACAAAAACGACGGAGCTTTTCCGTGCGACTTTAAGCTCAAGTAACAAATCGTCGTTTTCCTAATTTACCCGTAAAACGTCTCTCATTACAGTCGATTTCGTACTTATAACATACACACACACGGACAGACAGACGCAGACATCTTCGCGCGATACACAGGAGAGAGAACTCGGAGAGATCGGAGTCGCTCTCACACGGCATTTGAAAATCCGCCGTCTATTTTCGACGACAACAACGTCGTCGAAAGTGAGCTTGCGACGGCGACGAAGACGAGAGTGAAGCTCTCTCTCTCTTAGCTTCGAAGCTGAAGCAGACATATTATATAGAGAGAGGAGGAAGAGAGACATGCCGGAGAGAGAGAGAGACGACGACGACGACGCGCACACACGAGAACACGTGCTTCCAAGTAAAGTGCGCCCTTCCTTGCGTTTGCCTCTTTGCTCTCTCTCTCTCGCTGAGACTCGCGCGGATCTCTCGAAGCAGCAGCAGCACAGCGGCCAAGATTAGATTGCGACAGAGAGACGTTTTATATGGTAGGTGTATGTAAGCGTATGTGTGTATGCGTGCGTGCGAGAGACAACTCTGGTTACCACATTTATACTTCTCCAGAGACACACGTACATTGTGTTTCGGACACGAGCAGAAAAAAAAAATCTTTTCTCTGCTTCAACATCTCGCGATCGATTTCACTCTCGGAGCACAGCAGCAGCAGCTCTCGCTCTATTTCTGGCTTATATCCAAAAAGCCCATGTTTTTTTTTTGCGCGCTATCTTTTCGCCGCAGCAGCAGCAGCAGCAGCAACGGCACTATTATTTTACTTTATTTTATTTTATACATTCTTTTTTTTTTTTTTTTTGAGAAATCGTTTGTAATCGACGAGAAGTGCTGCCACACACCGTTGCTGCTGCTGCTAACGATATATAGGTCAAGTACGGTAATAAAAAAAAAAAAAAAAGAGGCAGGCAGGCAAGCAGGCAGCCGCACGGAAAGCTCCGGTCTGGAATATCATTACACGCGCGCGCGATGTGTGTCGTGCGTATGTGTACTTAATCTATATAAACAACCGAGTAGAAATAGTGTCGTAAGCCTCGAAATCGATGGAACGGAGAGCTCCCAAAAAAACATAAATGTAATTGTGTGCGCGAAAACAAGAAAAAATTAATAAAACACCGAGAGAGAAGAAGAGAGGAAGCTTCTTCTGTACAGCAAAATTTTTGCACGCATGGAGCGCGAGCGTGTTTGCGCATATGCGCGTTTTCTCTCTCTACGTACAAAACTCGGAGGCAGAAGCAGCAGCAGCCGCCGCTGCTGCCGGCACGCATACACATATACACACACACACACGACGTTCGGAGCAGCAGCAGAGGCAGCGGAGCTCGGCTGCGTCGGGCCGCAGCAGAGAGCCAAGCGTTGGCACGAGCCGCCGCTGCCGCCGTGAGGCGCAAGGAATCGATAAAACGGCGCTGTGCTTCTCTCTCGCTCGCTCGCTCGCTCGCTCGCGCACAGAACTCCGTGTAAAAGAGAGATGTCTGTATATATATGTGCGCTTGTTTGTATTGTACATATATACGTGAGTCTGCGTTTGTATTAATGAATGTATGTATGTATGTACGTGTGCGATACGCGGCGGAAGACATTCGCATGACTTTGTACGCGATGACGACGACGACGTCGAGAAAGCCAAGCAGCTGCAGAAGAAGTTGTAGCAGTAGTAGCAAGATAGCAATAATGATAGTTCTAGTCACAGAGAGAGTAAAAAAAATGGATGATTTTTCCTCGTGTCTACAATACATATTACACACACGACGACACGAGAGAGTTTCGAAGAGTCAGAGAGAGAGGTAGCCAGCCAGCCAGAGCCGCGAATCAATGAAGCGCGCGGCGCGGACTCCGTATTAATATATAGCACGTAATATACGCGCCCGAGAAGTGTATATAAGAGAGAGAGACACGACGAGAGAACGCGATGTGGCCCGAGACCGATGACTCATACGCAAAAGAATGTGTATATAGATATATACATACATACACAAATGATGACGTCGTAATGAGTCTTTACATGGATATACATAACGGGCGGACCGTCGACCATGGACGGTTCTATATACATTATTACATTATTATCATCGTACATATATATAATCATACGGCGTTATGTACTATACGAGTCGGAGCGCGGCGACACTCGCAAAAGTGAATGGACAGACGGAGAAGAGGATGCGCCCCGCGGCACATACAGCAGCAGCAGCACATTGGGAAACCCACACGATTATATATGTTATAGGCGTTAACGCGGATTTTCGGAGTCGTTTTGTTGTTGTTGTCGTTGTCGTTGTAATGCGCGTTAACTGCGAGAAAATCGAGAGATTGAGAACCTCTGCGCGTTGCTGCTGCTCCGCCAGGTGTATTAACGTGTACCAGAAGTTAATACCACCGTGTACAGGAGGAGAGAATCTTCGTTCTTTCGATCGGGGCACTGTGATGCACGCACAAACACACAGGCACACACACTCGTGGTTAGCAGATGTATCCGTACGAATGTATGTTACATCTGCACGAGAGAGAGAGAGAGAGAGACAAGGAAGCCTATAATACTGCAGAAAGAGAGACAGATAGAGAGCGAGCCGCGTAACGTATTATAACCTCAAAAAGTCTCCGGTGTGGTATATATATGTGAAACTGCGCGAATTCAGTCGGCAACACGCACACGCACACGCAAGGCAAGAAGCACAGACCACAAGACACAAAAACCGAGGAGAGGATTATGATATATACTCGACGATTTTTTAGGCACTGTGTAAAGAAAGAGAAAGAGAGATAGCCGACACCGTCCGGCAGATGCGTAGACAGAGAGAGATAGATTATTATGCGTTATAAATTTTTGCGCGATGCTCAATACGTACTTCGTTGTGAATTATTTGCTCGTTACACACGGACACGCACGCACGCTTATACTGAGGTACTGCCCCGAAACACGTATCAACACGGACTGATTACAAACACACGGCGGCGGTGGCGGCGGCGGCGGCTCGTACAGAGTAAGAGAATCTGTCTCTCTCTACGGGTTCCTCGTTTTTTTTTTGTTTCTCGCACACCTATGCGAAATCTCTTTCTCTCTCTCTTTTTTTTTTTATTGGTTACGAGTGCCCCGGGCGTACGTACAACGAGAGGTGTAATACGTAGATTTACGAAGAATTTCTCAATATACTATACGGCAGTAGCAGGCAGTAACAGCAGCAGCGGCGGCGTTAGCAGCAGCAGCTACTACGACGGCTGCGTTTGGCGGGGGTAAAACACATATATATACGCACACACGCACAACCGCTGATGCTGCTGCTTTATACACGCAAAAGGGAGAAGCGAAAAAGAGACAGAAAACACATCCACAGAGCGATTCGCGCTTACACACGTAGTAGTAGTAACCCGAAGTTACATATATAGAACGAACGGAGTCGACGACGACGACGTAGAGAGTAAGTGAGACGGAGACATTATATCGCGCACGGTGAGCTCGAGCTGCTGCTGCTCCTCCGCCGTCGCTGCCGCGGTTGCACTCGCACACACCTATAATACGCGTATGTAATACGGCCAAGAGAAGCTCACTCTCGCTGTAATAAATGCGCGATGCGCGTGTGTGCGTGCGAGTTTCGCGTATCTATACGGCATGCGGCGAAAAAAAAAAGGCGAAGAAATGGTTATGATACACGGCTTTTTGGCTTTTTTTTTGCTGCTTCCACTCTCTTCTCGGAGACTCGGAGATATACGCACACACACGCACACACATACCCCAGGGCAGGCAGAGAGAGACGAATATGCGCACATACACAGAGACAAGGCACCAAGAAGACACACGGCACACACACACACACGTACACAGACACAAGAGAGTGCCCCCGTGTGCGTGTGAATTTTGTACGTTATATTTATAAATCGGCTCTCTCTCTCTCGCTGTGATCTCTTCTCTTCCTCCTTTTTATATACACGTATGAAATACTCTTAAAACGT